TTTTCACCAGTCTCCACTGAGTCTCGGTAGTATAAGTGAGGTTGTTTTGAAAGAAAGGTGTATTTGGAGAGGTGTTTGGAGAGGTCTTGATGCAGAATCACAGTGGCTTGTCCTAAGAGTCATACTCCATGTAATATCTCTACCTACCAGGATTCATGCAGCCTACTGGTCAAATAGCCCAAGTGAAAGAGCTATAGTATAGTCCCGTGAATGAATTTTTATATGTTAATACACCTGGGCAACCACCATCATGATGAAGGTATAGAACATTTCTCCCACAACAGAAAGTTCCTTTGTGTCCCCCTCAACCCTTCACTCCCAACTTACTGACAGGAATTACTTTCTTACCCTGTTACCTTTTGTTTTGATATCTATGACAGCAGATTGGTCTTGTCTATTTTGAACCTCACATGAGTGAATTAATATAGAACATAAAATTTTGTGCCTGGGCTTCTTAAACCCAATGCCATGTTTCTGAGATTCATCCATACTGTAGCATGAATCAGTAGTTTGTTCTTTTTGTGATGTGCAATATTGAATATGGATGTTTCTCAATTTTGTTATTCTATTGTTTGTGGACTTTTGGGTTATTTTAGGTTTGGGGTTACTGTGACTAAAGCTTCATGCTTATTCTTACGTGTTTTCAGTAAGTATAATGTCAAAGAATGGCATGCTGAATCATAAGAAGTGTATGTTTGTTTTTAGTTAATATTGCAAACAGCTTTCCAATGTGGTTGTAAAATGTTAAACTTATACCAGCACTTGGTATTATTAATTTTATACTTTTAGCCATTGTGGTGTTTCTTTGGAATTTTATGTGTTTTATCGATGACTAATTTTACTGAGTACATTATCATATGCTTATTAACTTTTACAACATCTTTTGCATAAAGATTCTTTTCAAGTCTTTTGCCCAGTTTTTGAGTGTTTTTCCCCCCTCTTAGTGACTTGTAGAACTTCTGTCTAGAGTCTGAATGTTGTCTTTATGTTGGTTGTAACACTGATGATATCTCCTCCCAGATTGTAGCATGCTTCATTCTTTTGATGAACAGAAATTCTTAATTTTATTGATTATCAGCTTATTAATTGATTCATTTATGACTAGTGCTTTTAGCATCCTGCCTAAAAACAAACAAASAAAACTACCTACCCAAAGAAAACTACCTACCCAGAGATCATGGAAACAACTCTCTCTGCACTGTGCTGCCTGGGGTTGGGGTAGAATGAGGCAGGTAATGTGAAATGATTCTTGCTACTCTTGTTAAAACATCTTTTCTTATTTCTTTGCTATGCCCAGTCACTGTAATATCTCCTCTGATTTTCTGATCTTCTGGGAAGATGATTTTGTGCATGGATTGTTGCTCAAGTTGATGTTTCTATGGGGGAATAAACACTGGAGGGTGTTATCCCAACATTTGCTGACATCAATCCAACCTGGAAACTCACATTATTAAGTTTTCTTATGCACGGGACCATGGAATGTATATTCATTTATTTAAATATTTAATTTATGTCAATAGTATTTTATAATTTTAGTCTATGGATCTTTCATTTCTTTTGTTCAATTTATTCCCAGGTATTTTATTTTCTCAATTTTGTAAATTGGATTTTTGAATTTCACTTTAGGATTGTTCTTTGCTTGTATATAAAAATTGAAGTGGGTTGGAGAGAGCTGAGCTACCAGATGTTGGAGGATTCACTTAAATCAACAAGCACAGACAAAATAGTCAAAGCTTTAATTACTTCATTTGGTAGCATAAGCAAGATGACCCAAAGGAGAATGTGCCAGCTGCCCCATTTCCATTTTCTCCCATTGGATGGTACCTGCTGCGGATCAGCATAGAGGTGGGGAATCATCTCATTGTGGACAGAGTTGGGGCTCTGCAAATGTGACTGGACATTTTAATGTAAAAATTTAAGGGACCCACTTAAGCCACTGATGGGATGGACCAAATAACTCCGTCCTGGATGACACATCTCAGTCTGGGATCAATGTAGTCATTACCTGAAAAGGCGCTTCTCACTTGTGTTCTAATATGGTAGGCCATCCACCCCCTTCCTTCAGTGGGCCCTTCTTTCAGTTAGTGACACTTTGACTTTGTGGGAGGCCATGCAAGGACCTCCATCTCTTTCAGCCTCTTTCTGAAAATACAAATAAATAGTAGGAATAGGAGGTCATGTCAAACCATTTTTTTTAAATTAGGATTTTTAAAAGTTCATGATTTTTAAAAGTTCATGAACCCATTCCTGAACATAATGTACCTCTATGTTTAAATTACATAAAATAATTTCATATAAAAATTCTCCCTCACCTGATACTACATGGCATGAAGTTTTGGGGGGTGATTCTGTTATCATCTCTACATTATGCAATCTCTGTGTGTGTGTGTGTGTGTGTGTGTGTGTGTGTGTGTGTATGCTGACAGCTACACCAAGGGCCATGCTATTTCATACCATAAAATACAAGCTTGTGGTTGACAACCTGATGTCACAGATGAACAAGACAGATTCCCTCAGGAAGTCCCTAGAAACCAAGAACCAAACAAAATTCCTTGAATTGCACTAAAAACCCTGGGCCAGATGGCCCTGCCATGGAAGGCCACATTGGTAGCCCTGTCAACCGGATTCCTTAAGGAACGCATGCCCTGCCTTGGGTGCCAAGGCACCTGTGTCTCCTCTATGAGCCATCGTTGCCTCAGACTAATTACCTGGTTCTCCATATGACTTCATCACCTGACCCACTCAGACTTGTGATGGAGTAGCCTGTTTCTGATTCAGCCCTGAAAAATACATCTGGTTGAGGGGTCTGGCTCCTGGTCACAATCCTGTGTGATCTCTCAGCTCAACCACGGGCAATTACAAAGGGTCTCTCTGGCTGGCCTCACCATGGGAAAGCTGCCCTTCCTCACCAATGTCCGTGTTCAGTGTCTCTATCTGGGGAGAGGCCTCATGTTCCTCTGCCTAGATCTTCTTATGGGAAGAGAAGGACACATTGAAGACCCGTCTTCTCCCCCTGACTCAATATCCAGCATTCCCACTGCTAGGGCTTCTTTCTCTCCCTCTCTTCTTCCCTTTGTGGACCACCAGTTTGGGCTTTTTGTCTGGGGCTCCTTCAGCAAGGAGATGAATCTGTAAAGTCTGCATTGGTCAAGGTGACCTTTGCTCTGGGCACCTCCGGAAATAAATGGGATGGTGTGGACCTTAGTCTGGTTTAATCTCTTGCTTATATGTCACAGTTAATGATTGCAGACTGGGCTTTGCTTTCATTTTGGCCTGTTGCTTTATTTCATGACTCACACACTTGGAAAGTCAGCTGCCTCTAGCTCAACTCAGTTCTCTGCAGAACTACCTCTAATTTTTGTGTACAGAACTTTTAGCCCCCAACCTTGCTAAATTGGATAGTTTAAACTGACGTTATTAGACACTATCTTTTCCTTTATACAGTGTGATGTTGCCTGAAAGTGAAGTTTTTCTTATTCCTTTTTAAACTGGTTATCTATTTTTTTTAGCTTCATTTCCTTGACTTGAGCTTCCAGTATAATGCTAAAGGGAAGCAGCAAAACAGGACATTCTTTATCTTGTTCTTTTATCTTCTGGGGGAAGCATTCAGTCTTTCCCAATAAATTATGATTTGAGCTATAGTTTTCTCATCTGTCCTTTATCTGATTAAAGACATGACCTTAGGTTTCTAGTTTGTGAGTGAGTGTGTGTGTGTGTGTGTGTGTGTGTGTGTGTGTGTTGTGTGTATTTATCATGAAAAGGTGTTAGAATTGTCAAATGTTTTGATTACGGGTGATGAGAGATCATGTTTTTTCTTTTACCTAATTAACATGATATATTACATTGATTAGGTTTTGAATGTTTAAATAACCCTGCCTTCCTGCAATACATCTCACTTGGTCTCATGGTCTTTGAGTCTTTTCATGTTTGTTGGATTTGGTTTCTGGTGTTTGTTGAGGAGTGTCAAATTTATGTGCACAAGGATATCAGTCTGTGGTTTTCTTTTTCAACAGTGTCTTTGCTATTAGTGGTGTGGACATCAGAGAATACATTGGGAAATGTTCAGTTTTCTATGTTTTGTAAGATTTTTGAGAAGAAATTGTATTAATCCTTTTTGTTAAAATTTAGAATAATTAATTGCTATGGCATCATGGTCCATGGCTTTATTTGGTAAATTTTAAAATTACTAACGTAACTTCTTCACTTCTTATAAACCTGTTCAGATTGCCTGTAATTTTTGGAGTGATTTGATAGATTGTGTCTTTCTAGGAATTTGTCCTTTGATCCAAGTTTTTAATTGTTGGCATACTGTGACAATTCATTTTGTATTTATAAGACTGCCAACAATGTTCCTTTTCAACTCTGATTTTAGTCATTTTTAGCCTTTTTTATTTTTTTCTGCTGGGCAGTCTAGCAAAAGTTTGTCAATTTTGTTGCTTTTTTCAAGAAACCAAGTTTACTTTCATTTTTTGTTTTATAATTTTCAATTTAATTTATATTCATTCTAATAATATGTTATTTTATTTCTTCTGCTTGCTTTTGGTTTAATCTGGCTTTCTTTCAAAATGACTAATTTATAATAAAATGCCAAGAAATTGARCAAATATCGGGGAAAAATAGTATTATACGCTCCAAAAAGGAGTGACTATCAACATTGGATTTTAATCCAGAAACCAAGTTCATATGCTTAGAGAGTTTTCAGTGGGGAAGGGTCAGGAGGATAGAGGATAGATACATTATAATAATATTTTATTATAATTTTATCCTATTTTCAGACCTTCTAGAAAATCAAACTAAACCCTAAGCAAGTAGAAGAAATAAAATGATTTTGATTACAGTGGATTCACGCAAAAGTGAAAAGAGAAGCCAAGTTTCAGATTCTGTTTGAACAGTTAGCATTTTTCTGTCAAATTTCTATTGGGAAAATTTCCCGAGATTTTGCTTCAGCAAATGACAAGTTTAAGAGAAAAGCCCTTCACATTTGTCATTCTGGGCCATCCTCACATGGACCTCTTCTGCAAGGCTCTGCGGAGGGCATCCTTCACCTGGGAGTTCCTCAGGCTGTAGATAAGGGGATTCAGCACTGGGTTAAAGAGACTGTGAAAGAGCGACAGCCTTTTCTCCTGCTCCTCTCGCTGACTGGAGTCTGGGACCATGTAAACCACCATGGCTATACCGAAGAAGAGCCCCACCACACAGAGGTGGGAGGAGCAGGTGGAGAAGGCCTTTCTGCGGCCCTCCCCTGACTGGATCCTCAGGATGGCCAGCAGGATGCGCGTGTAGGACACCAGCATTAAGCACAGAGGCCCCACTAAGACAAAAACACTGGCTGCAAGGAGGACCACTTGGTTAATCCAGGGGTCAGCACAGGCCAGCTTGAGGACAGAGAGGATCTCACAGAACAGGTGGTTCACTTCCCGAGGCCCACAGAAGGGCAGCCTCAGGAGGAGCACGGCATGTACCAGGGAGAGGATAAATCCACAGGACCAGGAAGTGACAGCCAGGGCCGTACACACTCTCCAGCTCATGATGACAGCATAATGTAAGGGATGACAGATGGCCACATACCGATCATAGKACATGGCCACCAATATCAAGCACTCCGTAGCAGCCAAAGCCAAGTATAGGAATGTCTGCATTATGCATGGAACAAAGGAAATAGTTCTTCTTTGGTTCATGAGGTTTGCCAGCATCTTGGGGACATTGTTAGAAGCATAAGACATGTCAAGGACAGCCAGGTGTGAGAGGAAGAAGTACATGGGGGTGTGCAGTCTCGGGTCCAGGCAAATGAGTCCCAAGATCATGCCGTTGGCCAGCAGGCTGAAGATGTACAACAGGGAGAAGACCCAGAAGAGGAACACCTCCATCTCTGCTCTGAGCTGGAATCCCACCAAGATGAATTCTGTGACCCATGACTGGTTGCCTCCCATTCCTTAATGACCACCTGGGAGTGAAGGGAGACAAGATGACCAGAGCTGGAGAATCAATGAAAATTAGATCCGTCCACCCCAAAATGAGGTCAGAGAAATGTACACTTGTTCCGCTTTGACAACTTCTCCCCTTCCCAACAGTTGCTATCTTTCTGTTTTGAACACTTAATTATGAAATAAATTTAAACATGTAGAAAAGTAGCAAGAATTAGGCAAATAACTCTACATGCCTTCACCTAGAATCAGCCAGTATATTTGTGTTGTTTACTTATTTACCTTATACGTTTTCTCTGTATACTGAATTTTTGAATCATTTGAAATTAAAGTGTGGATGTGATACCCATAAATTTCTCCTCTTTTTTTTTTTACCAAGAAAAAGAATATTCATTAAACTGAYATACTACAATTGTAAAAGTTAGGAAAATTATCATTTATGTGTTTCTTATCTCTCACTTTCAGTATTTTCCTTCCACGCTCATCTATCCAGGCCCAAACCCAGGACTGCTCGTTACATTTAATATCACCTCGGTCTTTTGGCATCTGCAATATTTACTCAGCCTTTCCAGACACTGAAATTTTGAAGAGGATGCAGCAGTTTTTAGTAGAAATGTTTCTCACATTGGGAGTGTACAATGCTTTGATTCAGATTATTCACTTTCTACAACCAAATAAAGAGGAGGCTCAGGCATTATGAGCAGGTTCATGATGTTAATTTTTTCCCATTTTTGGATAAATCCAACTTAGATCACTTGGTGAAGATGATGCTTCCCAGATATCTCCATTGAATAGTTATTATTTTTCTCTAATTAATTCTAGGATATTGATTAAAATCATTATATAAATATCTTGTTCCTTGTGAAGAAACTAGCCATCAGTTCCTCTCTCAGTCTCTAGTTTTAGCATTTATTGATTGTCATGCTTGGCTCAATTATTACTAATGATGATTGAAAATGTTTGGTCCTAAGTCTATCATTGCTTTTGTATTTATTAGTTAACAATATTGTATATGAAATGACCTATCCATGCCTATCTACCTACCTACCTTTCTTCTATTTATTTATAGATTTTTAAAATTAGTGCATGAAAGATATACATAAAGGTGAGATTCCTTGGGGTATATTCATATATGTACATAGGAAAGTTTTATCAGATTCATTCCACCATTCTTCCCTTTTGCTATCCCTCCTCCCACACCTTAATCCCCTTCCTCTACTCCACCGGTCTCTTCTATTTGCATGGGATTCTCACTATGCCCTTCTTTTCCTTATTTTTGTCTAGCTTCTGCATATTGGAGAAAACATTTGACCCTTGAGTTTTGGTTTTGGTTTATTTTATTAGCATGATGTTCTCCAGTTCCATCCATTTATCTGCACATGCCATAATTTCTTTCTTCTTTCTGGTTGAGTAAAACTCCATTGTGTATATATACACCAAATTTTCTTTATTCATTGGTCTATTGATGGGCAACTAAGATTGTAATTTAGCTTGGCTATTGTGAATTGTGCTGCTATATACATTGATGTGGCTGCATCCCTATCATATGCTGATTTCAGGTTTTTGGACATATACTAAGGAATGGGATAGCTGGGTCATATGGTGGTTCCATTCATAGTTTTGAGGACTCTCTATACTGCTTTCTAGAGTGGTTGTACTAATTTGCAGTCCCTCCAACAATGTATAATTTTGCCGTTCCCCTCCACATCTTCCCCAACATTTATTATTAATTGTATTCTTGATAATTGCTCTTCTGGCTGGAGTGAGGTGAAATCTCAATGTAGTTTTGTTTTGCATTTTTCTGATTGCTAGGGATGTTGAACGATTTAATATATTTATTGGCCATTTGCATTTCTACTTTTGAGAAGTATTTCTTTAGTACTTTTGCCCTGTGGGGTTTTTGAGCTTATTTTTTATGTATTCTGGATATTAACCTCCATCTGAGGAACAGGTGGTAAAGATCTTCATACTCTTAATTATTTCCTTTACTGTGTGGATATTTTTTAATTTGACGTTGTCCTACTTATTGATTCTTAGTTTTATTTCTTGCACTTTAGGAGTCTTATTAAAGAAGTCCATACTTGTGCCAGTATGTTGGAGTGTTGGACCTACATTTTCTTCTAGCCTTTGCATATTTTCTGGTCCAATTCCTAAGTCTTTCATCAACTTTGAGTTGACTTTTGTGTGAAAGACAGGGATCTAGTTGCATTCTTCTACATCCCAAGAAARATATGGATATTCAATTTTCCCTGCACGATTTGTTAGAAAGGCTCTTTTTTCCAATGCACGTTTTAGACAACTTTGTCAAGTATCAGATGACTGTATCTTTATGGGTTTGTCTCTGTGTCTTCTATTCCATTGTTATTCACGTGTCTTGATGCCATGATCATGATATTTTTGTTACTATATCTGTGTAGTATAATTGGAGATCAGGGACTGTGATGCTTGCATGTTGCTCCTTTTGCTCAGAATTGCTTTGCCTATTCTGGGTCTCTTGTTCTTTCAAATGAATTTTAAGACTGTTATTTTTTCCTGATTCTGTGAAGAACGTCATTGGCATTGTGATGGAGATTGCATTCAATCGATTAAATAGTGATACGTTTTTACGACACACCTATTTTGTCTATATTGTGAATTTTAAAACTAGATGAAAAGTGTTGTTTATAACTATTTTTCTCTTCTATAAATATATCATGAACTATTTTGTAAATCAAAATATTTATTTTTAGAATTCTTTGCTCATTATTTCTTTAGACACAAATTTATTTTATATATTTTCTGATCCTTAGACTGTGTACAGTATTCTTCAGTAATTAAATTACATATATAAATATGGATTTAGATATATATATTTATATATATATATATATATATATATATATATATATATATATATATTTATGCTTGTTCATGAAATCCTATAGTAAATTCTGAGGCTTGAAAATGTTAAACCAAGGCAGTCAAACAACTTATCTATGTATCTGTTTAAAGGTATCTATCAGCCTTAAACCCACGCTTAAAAATCAGACAAGCAAAAATCCCAGATGCATTAAGGCCCCTCAGGATAAGAAACCAACCAGCAGGAAAGGGTATCTAACTTAGCAGGCATGGTTCTGTGGGCCCAGGTTTACTCACTTTCCCCACGTTGTTGTCCTACTTCTATGGCTGCTCCTTTTATCTGGCTCCCAGTGGTGCATTGATCTCCTTCATGCTTTGGTAACGGCCTGTCTAAAATCAACTTCCTTTGGCTTATCCTTATGTCAGTGTGTTAGTCAGATTTTCATCCCTTGACAAAATACCTGGCAAGAACAACCTAGAAGAGGAAGAACTTACTTCAGCTCATGATTTCACTGGTTAGTTTATGGTTGACTGACTCCATTGAATAAACATGATGGAAGGGTGTGGCAGAGGAGAGCTGCTTAGCTCCTGGAAGCTGGGCGGGCAGGGAGAGCAATGGACTGGGAAGAACGTAGCCTTGTAGGTAACACACCCATTGGCCTACTTCCTCCAACTATGTTTCAGATCCCAGTAGATTAATTCATTACATGGGTTAATCCACTAGTGAAGTCAGAATCCTCCTAATCCAATCATTGTCTAGAAGCCCACCTTTGAACCTTGCAACATTGGGGACCATACTTTGAAAACATGAACTTCTGAGGATATTCAAACCCAAACCATAACACTCAGCATGATAGTAAATACTGAGAAAGAAAATAACATTAAATGGAAATGAATAGCTCACAGAGCTTAAATACAACCCGGTTCCTACTATGTGTAGTTACTTGGTTGCTGTGATAAAATTCTCTCCTATTGTACTTGTAACCCAGAGCTATCTTACTCTCTGAGAGGTGACACAATTTTCTGTGACTTTCATGTGAGTTTCCCAGATTCCACATGGTTCCTTCCCAATACCACTCTTTAGATTTCCTTCTTGGATGTCTTTCTACCTATATTATTAAGAATAAGAGATACATATTCCTCATGTTATATCTAATTCAGTGTTTTCTCAATCCCAGTCTCTAGATTGAGAGGAACCCCTGTTTAAATTGGTGGCAGGTGTCTCGGATGATTTGACTCCTCACTATGCATCAAACAGAACTCATGCAGGAATTATAAGTTATACAGCTTCTATGATAATACCATAGCACTTAAAATGGTACCTAAATAATTTTGTTCTATCCTGCATGGTTTTTAAGTTCTATAGAGAAGACAATGCATTCCCAGATAGTTATGCTAGCTCTTACAATGATAAATATAATTTTTGAATGTGTTACWGACTTTATTTTTTAAATACATGTGAATATAAGATGGATTATGTTTTTAAAAATGATGAGAATTGTGAAAGTCCTTTTGGGATTTATGAGGCACAGGTAAATGTAAATCCTCAGGAAGGCCTATACTGAGTTGGAAAATGCATATGGGTCTTTTCAAAATGCTAGTGCAGCTACACTGTGTGTTTATCCATTAGACTTATTGTGTAAGCTGAAGGGTGTTTTCAGAGTCATAGGCCTCTTCACTAGAAGGGTTTTCTTGCATGTTTACAATCAGTTCATATAAAGAGAAAGGTTGCAGTCTGTCGATCTTGTCTAGGTCCCATTAAAAGTCTTCTGGACAGACAGCCTCTGAGGAGGGTTCTAGCAATGTAGAGAGGATTCATAAGGGTAGGCTTAGTTATGTATTGGCTTGAGCAATAATTGCCTCAAAATAAAATAAAAAATGAAGCAGCATTGATGCCAAATGTCATTTATTTGAATGGAGATGTCCCTCACCCTATAATGAATGGCAATGTTGTGTACTTCTTTATATATTTTATAATAACTAGTATAGTTGTAGATAAAACATTCAGAAAAATTCATTAATTAGGTGGGTAACACTTAATTCAGTTAAATATTTAGTTATTCATAAAATATAATATTTATATTAAGAATATATTATATAATCTGTATATTAAATATATAATATATAACTATTAAGACATAGTTTATTTCTATTTTTATAAACTTACA